TTTTTGGTGGTCTGTKTTTCCATAGATAATAACTATGGTGTTTCTCATTTGGTACTCGAAACGTGAGTAATGAGAATCAGTACTCTTTATATTTGTTATAAACATCACTGAAGATCGAGGAATACGAGATACAAAACCATTCAATTTGTCTCGCAAACATTTTGCTGTCTATGTTTGGTGTCGATGTTTTTTGTGCTACGTGCAGTGCTTAGGCAAGTTGAATAACGATAAACGCGCTAACTTGAAAATAACATTAAGAGAGAAAGGCACAAAATAATTTATAAAATGTCTAACGTTTTCGAACTCTATGTCTGAGTTCATCATCAGGACTGAATAAATTAACCCAAAATAGAGAAATATATGTTTGAGTGAGATATTTTATGTTAGTGATATATTTTATGTTAGTGATATATTTTATGTTAGTGATATATTTTATGTTTGAGTTATATATTTTTCTATATTGGTTTATTTATTCAGTCCTGATGATGAACTCAAAGTTCAAAAACGTTAGACATTTTATAAATTATTTTGTGCCTTTCTCTATGATAATTATTTTTCCTTTTGGTGATTGAAATGACAACATTCAGAGACATGTTGAGGCATTTTGCATCTCGTATTTTCTCTAGAACACTTGTCATTGGATGCACACTGGAAAAAATCGCGCGCTTTAAAGGTTGTAAATTTGATGTAWATATGATGTAAGTGTCCAAAATGATGTAAATTTGATGTAAATAATTTCCATCAAATTTGCATAATTTTGGACACTTACAACATATTTCCATCAAATTTACAGCCTTTATGGTGCGCTATTTTTTCCAGTGTGCACAGGTTGTTTGTTCTTACTCCGCCATTCTGGTCATGTGAGGATTCTTGTAGAATTTTCAGCGTCGTCAGAGAAGGAGCCAGTCGAATGCGTTTAGTTTCCGAAAAATACCAGCCGGTTTTTGGATCTTGAAGAGCAGCGAAGGGCACCATGAAAGAGGGGAGGGGCATGAAAAGATGACTGTCAGGGATGATGATCAACTCGTCGAGGATCAGCTGGTGCAGCACTGGGGAAACTAGTCTATAGAAGAGCATATCAAGAGGCTCTACATCATCGTCTTCTTCGTCGGGAATACGTCTGTCAACCTTTTGAAAAACTTTGAGAACAGTTTCACTGAGATACGAAGAGTTTGTCGAGTGTGCACACTCCAGGTCTTCATTCTCTAGTGAGCTCGATCATCGATCTGTCTTCGCATGTCATCCCTTTTCCTTCTCTAACATTCAGCTGCTGGAAACTGTATTGAAAATAATCCGTCTTGATGTTGGGTTTATCATCTTCAGATAGATTAGACTCAATTGTTGCCAAAGCTTCACAATTTTTGTGTAAAAACTGAGCGTGAATAATTAAAATTGAAGCATTTTTGCGAAGTCTTTGTGATTTATTGATAATATCGCTGACCGTGATTTCGGTAAAAATTGATAACTCCTCAAAACGCTGGAAATGACATTTCCGAGAGTTAAGATTTCAAAAATTTCCGAACCCCCCTAATACCACCTCGCCACTAGCCAAATTCACGCTCCGCGGTCCCTGACAATTGTTCAATTCATTATAAAACAGGAATGATGGACTTGGCATTGAGTCGATATGATCCAGAAATGATAAGTTACCTTGTTACCATGAAGATTGTAAAAAAGAAGGCAGCTTTTACGATACGAAGAAATTGTCTTGACATCTACAAGTTCCAGCTCTTTACATTCCCTTTTCTCAGTTGTGTTGTATCTAAGCGACAAGAGATCTCTCAAGGTGGACGTGTCCTAGCAACTTGTAGGTATTGATGAAAGTATCTACAATGGAAACCTTGAATTGGTCTTTATTTTTTGAATCATCAAATCAAACAATTTCTCGTAGC